CAAGTTCATGGTGGCTGTGCTGGTCGGTGCTGTTGCCCACAGCAGGAAGAAGAGGAAGAGAGGGCAGAACCCAAGCCTGGGTGAGCAGCAGGTGCTCCCACTCCCTGCTGACCTTGGACATGACGGAATCGGCCTCTCCTGGGAGAGTTCTGCGTGAGCCAATCCAAAGGGAATCCATGGAAAAGGCAAATTAGGGTTTGCCACCAGTCATAAGAAAAGGATCACTACTAAACACAGATCTGGAAGAACCTGTCACTCTGGAGAGGGAATGTCCCCATCTTTGTCACCTCTTCCCCTTGGCACCTCATCCCCAGGCAGTTATTCCAGACATCATTCCCAGGACCATTCCATCACAGTCTGAACTGACACCCATCAACTTCCTGTCACCTCAGGTGACAGATTCTGCTTTTCCAAGGTGAGGAAGAGCAGCTCCCAAAAGCTGCTTTGGACAGTGGGGATGCTTGGAAAAATCCCTGTGGAAAGGCGTGAGGAACTGCAGGACACACCAGGAAAGGGATGTGGTCTCTTTGCATCTCTGAGCCAGCTTCTTCTCTCTGAAGGGACTTTGTGAGCACAGGAGCTGTCTCTGTTGCTCTCCCTGTGTTTTCTCTCCCATGTGGTGGTTGTTCATCCCTCCCCACTGAGCTGCCCTCAGCTCTCCCAGGCTCCAAACCCATGGGCACTCACATTTCTTTTTCCCTGCAAAACTAAATAAAATCCAGCTGATTCTCTGGCTTGGTGTGGATTCCTGCAGGACACCAGGTGACAGTCGTGTCCCAGAGCAGAGGTGATGCTTGGAACACCCTGGAGTGTTTAGAAAGTCCAGGAGCACTCAGAGCCAGCGGGACAGGCTGGAACATCCAGAGCCAGCTCTGTGCAGGAACAGCAGCTCAGAGTTCAACCTCTCATTGCTCACAGAAGCAATGATTGAAATTTGCTTATTTTAATTACACTTTTGGGTTCCCTTTTTTAGAGTAGTTCTGTGTTTTGTCCAGAAATTGAAATTCATGGTGGGACATCTGACAACCTTTGTCCTTCCGAGGTCTTTCCCTTCCACCACTGTGAGGTTCTCAATCTTAAATCAGCAATTTTTGGGGAAGAAAATCTGTGTTTGTTGCTCTGTCCTGGTCTAGACAGTGACTTGCTGTATCTGCATCCACAGAGGGGAATTTGCCATCTGAAATAAAAATATCCCCAAAGAAATAAAAAGAAATTAATCAATAACTTACTGATTGCCATCAAAAACAATGAATGTAATTTGGGAGGATTGTATTAATCAAAACCAAATGGCTTTGGGGCAGAAATGTTTCTGGGGCTTGTTCTGTCCTTCCCTTCCCCGGTCCCCTCTGTGCTGATGTTGGCTCTGTTCCTGTGCTGGGTGACCTGGACACTCCATGGGGGTTGTTTTTTCCTGTCTTCCCCCCCGATGAATCACAAGTCGAGGTTCATCAGAACTTTTGGGGCTGTTTGCAAAAAAAAACAAAAAAAGGAACTCCGTGTCCCTCAGTGCTCCCATCCTGTGAGAGCCAACAGGAAACTCCAACGCTGTGTTTGGTGCAAAATGCTGTCCCAAATTTCAGGTAACTCTGATCAAAATCTCATTAAAGCTCACATTCCCTTTCACCACACATCCCCTCTGCTCTTCCCCAATTTCATGAGACAAGGAGGAAATATTTGCAGCTGTAGATGAACCGAGGCTGATATCCAGAAGCCAAAACCACTTCACTTAAAACCACCCAGCTCGGTTTGCACCCAGCTGCTGAGGGTGGTGATGGAGTGAGGGAAAAGAAAGACCTGGAAGCACAATTCCCCTGGAAAATAACTGCACTTTTCTAACAGCACAGCACCTTGGTGGGCAAACCCAGAGGAAAGCTGTGGTGCATTTGCTTTTCCAAATTACTCTCTTTTTAAATAGCAGGGAGCTATAAACCCAAATACAGGAAACTGCTTGTGTCTGTCAGCAGCTGATACAGCAGCACGGCCAGGCCACGTGAGCTCCTTCCTCTGGACATAAATATTCACGAAAAAATTATTAATTACTGCCTGTTCTGATGAGATTCAGCAAGATGGTAAAAATCTGCTTTATTTTAAACCTATGAGATTTTTCCTGGGCTTCAGAGAGACAAGTAATGCATTTGACATGTTCTAATAAACAAGGGGCTTCTTGGAAAATATTTGTCTACTTTATAGTATCAATTGTCATCAGCTTGAGCTCCTGGGGTGGAATTTACACTCCAATGCATTGATTTGTTTTACAAAGAAATAACTCTGTATTTCCATGTTTGTTGTTTATTAACACACACCTGTCCTCCAGGATAAATCTAGCTTGACTTTATTACAAATTACACCCCTGTTGATCCAACTACAGAATCCTGTTATCACAGTGATATGAGCAAACATCCCTCAGGGATTATGGATAAATCCCCAAATTCAGCTGACTGAGATTTTCCTCTTAATTCCGTGAGCTAGAGACTGAGGATGCTGAACAGGACACAAAAATGGGTTTAATTTTTGGATATCAAGATTGCAGGAAGATTCCAGCCTGGATAATGGGTGGCAGGGGAGGGAAGGGAGGTGGAAAGGCAGGGAATACATCCATGGATTGATAAACTCTGTTCTGTGGGTGATTATGCAGTTCTGAAGGTGAGTGTGAGAGAGAAAAGTAAATTCCGTTTATTGCTTTGATGTGGCTACACAACACAGGGTTTTTTACCATTATATCCAAGATGATTTTATTATTCTACTGGAAATTGTCTGAAAAAAAAAAAGAAAAGCTGGACAATTACATCATAATAGCTAAAGAAACTGATTTCTGACTTCCTCAGCAGGTTTGCGTGATTGTTCTCCTCATTTCCTATCCCAGCTTCCACTCTCTGATCTTACATACTGTCATTTCCTTCTTTTCTTGTTTGTTTGTTTGGGGCTTTTTTTGTGATCATCACTGTATTGACCAATTCTGGAAATAATTCATGACTGCCAATTTGTGCTCTGGGGGTTTTGAGATGTTGAAATGTTGCTGTGGGGTTTGTACCATTAACTATTTCTGATATTGCAGTGAGTGTGCAGCTCCAATCCTGGGAAGAGCAGCGTGCCCAGAGGGATTACAGGAGACTGGGAAATTCGCTCTCTCTTAAAGCTTTCAAAGCCCACCCAATCCTCCTAAGAGGAAAACTCTTTTTTTTTTTTTTTTTTTTGTGCCAAAACACAGAAATAAGCTCATTCTGAGGTCTTCATTCAGCTGAAAAAAGATAATGACAGGATCCCTGGGAGTTGGGGATGAGGAGGAATCACCTTCCTGGGAGGTAACCTGGAATATAAAGGGATTAAATCTTGGAAAGAAGGGCAGCTGGGCACATGGAGTGGTACAGATACAGATTCCATCACCACTTCCATGGACACTCCTGGCGCTCCAGCACAGCTTTCAGGTGACTTCAGGGATAATTACAGAACACAATGAATCCTGCAGGAGGTAATGGCACATCTCCATGAGTGCTGTGCCCGCAGCTCTGCCAGGACATGGAGCCGCTGCCAGGCACATTTCCCATCCCCTTCCAGGCTGGAATGGTGGCACAGCCTCTTCCTGCCCAGCACGTGTGTGCCTCACACCTGAGGGACACACGGAGCAACACGGGCCAGCTCAAAGCCAGCCTTCCTCCCAGTTTTGGGGTTTTTTTTCTTCCTTTCTTCCTCTTGTCTTCCATTCCCAGCTCTGAGGGCCCCCTCAGGCCCGGGGCAGAGCCCTCTCCCCTCACGCCGCCATCTTGAGGCGCCGCCTCATCCCTTGGACAGAATCAGCCCAGGATGGAGGGTCCCACTCCCAGAGAACCCCCCACACTTGGAGCAGCTCTGAGGGGACAGCCCTGTGTCCCTCAGCCCCCTCAGCACCCACAGCCCGGCCCTGGGCCCACAGGAGCAGCACCCATGGGCAGCGATATGGTGGATGGGGCTGAGGGGTGCCAAAATGGCCGTGCTGGGCCCATGAGGCAGAGGCTGAGGGCAGCGGCTGTCCAGCCATGCTGGGTGAGGGCAGGGGGTGAGGGCAGGGCCTGCCTGGCCTCTTTTGGTGTATGGGGGTGCAGGGGTTTTGTTTGGCCACACCAGGGCAGGGCAGGGCTGTCCAGCCATCCCTGGGTGAGGACAGAGGGACAGGGCAGGGCTGTCCAGCCATCCCTGGGTGAGGACAGAGGGACAGGGCAGGGCTGTCCAGCCATCCCCAGGTCAGGGCAGGGGCTATCCAGCCACTTTTGGGTCAGGACAGGGCTGTCCGGCCATCCCCAGGTCAGGGCAGGGGCTATCCAGCCACTTTTGGGTCAGGGCAGGAGCTGTCCAGCCATCCCCAGGTCAGGACAGGCCTGTCCAGCCACCACAGGTGAGGGCCAGAGCTGCCCGGCCATCCTGGGTCAGGGCACAGGGTCATCAGGACAGGGGTGTCCGGCCACCTAGGTCAGGCAGGGGGTCAGGACAGGAGCTATCCAGCCACTTTTGGGTCAGGACAGGCCTGTCCAGCCACCCCAGGTGAGGGCCAGAGCTGCCCGGCCATCCTGGGTCAGGGCACAGGGTCAGGGCAGTGCTGTCCGGCCACCCCTGGGTCAGGCAGGGGGTCAGGACAGGAGCTATTCAACCACTTTTGGGTCACGACAGGGCTGTCCAGCCACCCCAGGTGAGGGCACAGGGTCACGACAGGGCTGTCCAGCCACCCCAGGTGAGGGCACAGGGTCAGGGCAGTGCTGTCCGGCCACCCCTGGGTCAGGCAGGGGGTCAGGACAGGAGCTATTCAACCACTTTTGGGTCACGACAGGGCTGTCCAGCCACCCCAGGTGAGGGCACAGGGTCACGACAGGGCTGTCCAGCCACCCCAGGTGAGGGCACAGGGTCAGGGCAGTGCTGTCCGGCCACCCCTGGGTCAGGCCAGGTCAGGGCTGGGCTGCCCGGCCACCCCAAAGTCCCCCCTGCCCTCCCCACAGCCCACCACAAAATTCGCAATGCAGAGCAAAAGCTCCTCAGTTTATAAATTTTATTAGCTGGAGAGTGTACACAGTACTTACAATTGCATCTATTAAAGACCAAAATACACTTGAAAAAATGCATCATATAAAAAAAATTAAAAACTTTGAACTATGTACAAACGTTGCCTGACATCACGTTAAGCTCAGGACCCTCCCACGCCCCTTCACAAAGAAAAGTTTATTTTCCCCCGTTTTTTAACATGCAGGGCCTTAAAGCCATTTAGCATCACTTGAGGACCATTTTTTTCCAAATCCTGATCTTTACACTCCTATAAATCTGGGTTTTGATGGGTTTGATGCTTCACTGCTCTGGGTGAATCATTTCTCCCAAACCTCTTCCTTCATCCTCACCCACTCTTAACTCACTCCTAAAGTGAAGGTTTTGCTCAAGTGTAGCCAATCTACAGAGAATTTTAATTTAATTATTAGGGAGGTTTGAACTGGACATGTCTCCAATTTTCACAGATTTGCCTGGAAAAGAAAGCAGATAGTTTTGGTACTGTGGCGTTGACTGCTGGCTCCAACCTCACCAAATAAACACAACTTTCAGCAGTGATACACAGAACACAAATAAAAAAATGATAGGAGCACTCAGGCTTTCACATCACTATTTTAAAATATTAACAATAAGACTTCCTAGAACACAAATCCGTATTTCTTCACACACAACCTACAACAGCAGATCAGAGAACCTAGATATGAAGGGATATTGGGAAAAAGTTTACAAGTTCTTTAAGAAAAGTAATTACTTATTAAAAAAAAAAGAAACAAAACCTATGTCAGAGTAATAATCTAGCTTCCTGAACTTCCAGCTCTCAAAAAGGTGTTTCAGGACAGATTTACCATCAACTGAAGAGCAAAAAATACAATGGAGAGAATCTTACTCCAGCACGCAAATATTCCACCAACAAAATGTACAGATGCTCAAAAAAAAAATATTTACAGTAATGCTGCAAATTCAACTAAAATCCCTTAAGGAGAGCTGCACTTTCCTGGAATGGGGGAGACCCCAGGAAATGCTGTGTGAGTTTAGGTGCCAGCTGAGGAAAACCAGCACCACTGGACAAGGATTTAAGGCAGAAGCAACCAGAGGCCCTGATGCCATCGATGTTAAAAATTCCCTTGGAATTATTAGAAATAAATCCTAATTAAGAGTTGTGAGCAGAGTGTCAGATTACTGGTGTAACTTGAGACAAAAACTGAAAGAAAGAAGATTTATTTGCCTGCCAGGAGCCAGGCCAGCTCCTCCTGCAGCTGCAGGTGTCCCCGAGTGTCCTTCCCAGCTCCAGCTGTGGGGAGGGACAGGAACCAGGACTCACACCAAGGAGCTCAGCTGCTTTTAGAGATCCAGCTGCCAATTCCAAACCTCTCTGCAGCTCCTCCTTGTCCTTCCACTGCCTGCACAGGGCATCCTTACACCTGAACAGGCTCCCTCTTCCTCCAGGATTGCCTGCTCACAACAAGGATCCAACATTTCTCCTCAATCTCATACTCTCTCAGGTTTAGTATTTTTCTTTCATCCAAAGGAAATAGAATTTTCCAGGCTCTGTTCTTTTGTATCCTCCCAGTCTTCCACAACTTGCTGATTTGTCCTCCACTTTGTCTTTAGCCATAAATTTCCAGTAAATGGGAAAAGATGGGAGGGAGAAAATGTAATTTCCAAGCTGCGTTTCCTTGTCACTTGAATTCAGCATTCACTGGCTTGAACCCAGTCTCACCCATCCTTGGCAGCATTTCCTCAAAAACTCTTCACTCTTCAGCTTCACCTGGCCAGGTTCACATTCACCCAGCAACGTTCCCAATCCCAAACGTCACTGCTGTGATCCAGTTTGAACTACAGGACCCAAAACCTGGAAATTCTGGGACTCCAGCAGGCAGATGATCCCCAGAGCAGCTGTGTAACTCATCAAGGTGAGAGGGGACAGGAGTGCAGTGGTGAGAAATCACCTGTTAAATGCTTTTAACTACTGTTCCCATCACTAAATTCAAATCATAACAGAGCAGGCTTAGAATCTAAATTAAAACTCTGTTCTGTGGAGATGCTCAGCCCAAAGCCAGCTGTAGGTCATGGGAAAATCCTATTTTTTAATAATGTAAGTATTGCTCCTTTGCTAAGTGCCACTTCTGTTTTGTTTTTAAGAGCTTAATTTATAAAAAGCATGAAAAGTTCATCAGTATGTGCTGAGTCCTTCAGGTACCTCAGGCTGAGCTGCCCCAGCTGCTGCTGTCCTGAATCACCCCTCACTCTGGAACTGTAGAAATGATTTAAGCATCAGAAACTCCATCCCAACCATGGCCAAGTGCCACCACTGTCACACTGAGGGTTCCACGTCCCCTGGAGGAAACACGGACTTCACTGGCAGGTGAGAAAGAAGATTAAAAAAAAAAAAAATCCTTTGGAAGAGAGTCACTGAAAAGTTTCAATCCTTTCTAGACTCACATCCAGTTTTCTTCCAAAGCAACAAGTACTGGCAATGAACATCCAAACCCACCCAGAGACTGATTTACTGACCCAATCCCCCCCATCTCCCTCTCCCACCCCACTTGCAACAGAGACACAACACATCAAGTCCTGCAGTAATCTTCACTATTTCTAGCATTGATTGGATGGCTGAACCTTCCCCAGAGAAGAGCTTCTTTACACATTTACAAGGTGGAATTGAAAAGAATCCCCTTCAGTTTCTGCCAGGGCCAGAAGTGCAACAGCAGGGCCCAGCTCAGGGAAAACCAAGTCCAAAGGGGTGAGGAGTGGATGGAATAACAAATCTCAGCTCCGAGGTGCAGGCTGGAGGAGCTGGAATCTGTCCCTGGACAGGGCTGAGCTGCACCAGCCACAGGGAAAGGTGGGAAAATGAGGAAAACCAGAGATGAGCACTCAGACTTCCAATTCCCTGTGCTGGATCAGGAGAGGGCACCAAGGAAGTCTGAAAGGTTCTGTTGGTAGAGTTGAAACCTCAAGCACATCCTCAACACGTGGTACTTGCTCTGTGGAAAAGGACAGGCTGTGACATGGAGATTGTCCCACTCCAGGATTCACTGGACACTCTGGGCAGGCAGGACAGGCTGGCAGGAGGGATGGGAATTCCCTTCAGGTATTTTTCCCTGGAAGCAGGGGTTAGGAGACCCTGATCATCTGTGTCATTGCTTCTTCGTTGCTTTGAGATGGATCCTGCAGACACAAAAGGGTGGAAATGATACATTTTTCCATGAAGCACAGAGAACCACACACAACCATCAAGAGGAGACACTCCTGCACTTCCCTTGATCTCCAAAACTGTCCTGTTTTTCCTGGGTTTTACAGACCAGGGACACAAAAATCCTAATACTTCCCAGGAATTTGTTGTTTCTGGTATTTAGGACCAGTATTTAGGAATGATTTTAGTTCAAAATAAGAAACACTTCCTAAAGGCACAGGACTGTTCTAAAGCACTGAGCCACCACAGAACCTGTTTGTTCTACTCCATTATGTCCCTTCCTTTGAAAAATGCCTTGCACTTTTTATGCAAATCAAGATGCAGCTAAGAATCAGATATGCCCATTTCTTAATTTTGCATCAGATGTAAAGATAAGGAGTCTCTACCTTTAATTCATGTCCTAAAAGAACACCCCAGTACCCAACCAGAAAGGCTGTTTTACAAACTCAGAATGTTTGTGTGCGTTTATCCTAAGAACTACAAAATGAACACGCTTCTATCCACATTATTGTCATTTAATTCCTCAGGGCAAACATCCCTTGCTCTCCACAAGCAGTAACAGGAGGTTTTATTCCCAATGCTTGGAATAAATCTAAAGGCAGGGAGGACCAAAGGGCAGCAGATGAAAAATTCAGAGGCAGGGAGGGACAAGGGTCAGCAGCCAAGCCCAAAAACCCAAACAAAGCAGCACAGACACCTCTGATGTGTGTCCTGAAGGGCTGAAAGGGGATTTGCCCCAAACCCCACTCACCTGCATGTGAGGGCTGTCCTTTTCCTTGGGGGAGAAGAAGCGACCCCCCTCTCCCCGTTTCCTGGCCATGGCGTGCCGGTGCCGGGACTCGTGCAGGTATTTCTGCAGTGAGGGAAGAGCAGTGAGGGAGCAGTCAGTCACTGCCTCCCCAGGGGAATTCCCAGTCCCCATCCATCTCCTGTCCCACAGATTCCCAGTCACTGCCTTCCCAGAGGAAATTCCCAGTGCCCATCCATCCTCTGTCCTACATATTCCCAGTCACTGCCTTCCCAGAGGAAATTCCCAGTGCCCATCCATCCTCTGTCCCACAGATTCCCAGTCACTGCCTTCCCAGAGGAAATTCCCAGTCCGCATCCATCCTCTGCCCCACAGACACTGTGCTGACAGTCAGTGCATGCTCACACACAGCTCCAGACACTCCCAAAACCACCCAAAATAAGCAGAATTATCCTCGAGGCACTTAAAAAACTTCCTCTGATATAGCTCATCAACAACAATAAAAACATTGTTGAGAAACACCAAAATTCTAATCCTCATTTTCCATCCCAGGTGAGATTCTGTGCCTTTGTCACAGAGCAACCCCGTGTTAGATCTGAGTTTTATTCTCACCCTTCTCTCTTTGGGGATTTTTCCCTCTGCTTCCAGCTTGGCCCGTGCCTGCCTCCTCTTCAGGATGCGGTGGTACTGCTTGGCATTGACGTAGAGGGGCTCCTCTTCCAGCATCTCTGCTCCAGGCAAAGGGATCCTCTGGATGGCTGGGACTGAGCCAGCTCCAGGCACCATCTGTACACACAGGGTGGTTTAGTCCTTGCAGCTCAGCACACAAACTGAACACAAAAATGGCATTAAAAACCCCAATATTGAAACAGAAAGTGGGTTTTGCTCAGGTAATGCAGCTGCTTAAATGAAAAGGAGCAATGAAGCTGCTCTCAAACTGCAAAACCGATCTAAACAAATCAATTCTTCATCAGTCCTGCTGGGTTTTCCTGATAAAGTAACATTTCAATACAATTCCTTGACTGTGTTTCTGCTTCTTGGACAATTAAACAAACAGGACATGGCTGGTGCTTCCCTTTCTTTTGGGTTATCTCTTATTTCAATTAATTCATTTCAGAGCATCTCTAAGCCAACACTGCAGAGCTGCTGACATCTAGTGGGGACCAGCAACATTCAAGAGGTTCACACTACAAAGAAACAGGACCTGGCAGGAAAAACCTCTATAAATGATGGAAACAAATCCTAAGGGACCCTCAAAAAAAGTGACTCCATCTATTTAAACCTTTGCTCATCAGCTCACAGCTCAGTTTGGATTTCAGCTTCTACATTTCTGAGCTGCTGTGGGAGAAAGTCCAGAGCAAAGATCACAGCAGGATCCAGGCCTCTGAAGCTGAAAATTTGCTTTGTTTAAACTTTAAACCAATGAGAGGACTAAACTTTACCCACTAAACTGAACTTACAGAGGACTGACCAGGGTATCTCAATCTCAGACAAGAGTTTATCAGAGAACCAGGGAGTCACAGGATGGTTTGGGTTGGAAGAGATCTTAAGGATCACCCAATTCCAACCTTCTGCCATGGGCAGGGACACCCTCCACTATCCCAGGTGCTCCAGCCTGGGATGGAGAAGCCACAGCTTCTCTGGGGTCCCTGTGCCAGGGCCTCCCCACCCTCCAGGGAGAAATTCCTTCCCCATATCCCACCCAAACCTGCCCTCCTTCAACTTAAAGCATTCCCACTATCCTATCCCTACCCTTGTGAAAATCCTGCTAGATTTGAGTACAAACACCTCAAAGCTCAGCCTCCAGAGGCAGCAGTGGGAATTTCACACCTACCATGACCATTCCCCCTGAATTGACCACGTTCCCAGCCACTGGCAGTGTCACTGTGACCGTCCCCTGGCCACTGCTGGTGGTGTTGGTGTTGGCTCCTGTTTGGACAATCTGGGCTCCAGCCAGGCTGGCTGCAGGAATGGTGATCATGCCTGTAACAGGGGCTGTAACTTTAAGGAAGTAGAACACAAAAGGAAAGGAAAAAAAAAAAAAAACAAGAAAAAAAACAAGGAAAAAAAAAGAGAGAGAGAGAAAGAAAAAAAGAAACAAAAACACGCACACAAAAAGAAGGGAACAGCATTAGTCCCACTTCTGTATTTTACTCATTCATCCTTCCAAAACATGCAGAGAGTCAGGAAAGTGCTGAAGCCAGGGATTAAATTCCATCAGAATTCCTGGTGTTTGCATTTGTAACCTCACTGTGAGTAACCACGTACTCTTGAGGTGGAAAAGCAAAATTCAGGGGTTTTATTCTACCAGCCCTTGCCAGAGACAAGGAGATTTTCTGTTTCTGGGGAAAAAACCCTGGAGTGAATTCCTGCAGAGCACACAAACACCTCAATAAATAAAAAACCTCTCAAAGAGGTGCCCTGGCTCCTCCCAGCCTCCTACCTTGCTGCAGGATGGTGCCATCAGCATTCACGGGCTGGTACACGATGGTCTGGCCCTCAGCAGCCTGGGCAACCTGCTGGCCTTGCACTGCAATCTGCTGCTGGGTCTGAACAAAACAAAGAGCACAAAAACATTACAAAGTGCCTCTTTTTTCCCTGTGTGTACAATTCCTGAATGAACACATGGTGCTTGAGGTGTTCCAGGTGTCTATTTCTGCTGCCTCATTAGCAGCAGTAAGAAACAGGCTGGAGCACAGAGCAAATACCTGGAGATCAAACACCTGAAGCACATGTAAGATGCATTTTCCAACAGCTCAATAATGAAAAAAACCCAAATTCTACATTTCCTGTCTCACTATGAAGATGTGAAAGGAAGAACTGTTCTGCTCCAGAATTTAATTTTGGCCCTAACCAAAAGCATCAGCAGAAACCCCAGGTGTGACTGGACTACTGCACACAATGGCCCAAGTATGGAATTAGCAATGCTTCATGTTTTCAAAATTCAACAAAGAGACAAAAACAACCACGAACCAATAAAATACAGAAACACGATGGAGAAAAACATGCAATCTAATTTTTCTGCCCCAGAGTCATGTATGAAACACTACAAAAACATGACACTCATTCTCAAGTTCTCCTCAATATTAATAATTCCTTTTTTTTTTTTTTTTTTTTTACTTAACCACATCTTAAAGTCATTTGTCAAGTTTCTCTTCCTGTTCCTCTGCAGAAAAGCCTTTCATGCTGGTGCAGTTACCTGTGTCTGGCCAGCAGTAACTGCAGTCTGGGGCTGCTGTATAATGATCTGCTGGGTCTGGCCCTGCTGCCCCTGTACCTGCACAGCCTGCCCACCTTGAATCTGAATCTGACCTGGCTGGACCAACTGAATCTGTGGAAGAAAGAGTCAGAAAGGAACATTAACTATGCCTCTGATTTCTCCCTCCTCGGCCTCAGCATGACCAAGTCATCTCTGAGGGTGATTTACTGTTGCACAGAAAAAGGAAGCAGGGAGTCTTCTCTTTTTCCAGTTGAGAATGAGGAGTTTTGACGGATTGCTCCCCGTGACACAGCCACACGGGGCAGAGGGACCAGCGTGCTGTGTCACCGTGCTCCAGCAGTTCTGCACTGCTTACACAATAAATCACTCAGGAGAAATCAATTATTCACATCCACTGGGAACAAATAGTCAGGTGGAAGAGGAGGACTAAGATTTAAGACATCTGTGGGGTGTTAATTATCCAGCACTCAGAAGTACTTCTGGGATTTATAAAGTTGTCCTCAGCTTTGCAGAGTCTTTCCACCACTGTGGAACATTCTCAGATCAAAAAAGAAGAGCTGGAATACGGTTTGAAGTTTGTGTTTAAAAACACAGTTATGGATTTTCCTCCACCAACCAGACTGAGAAGAGCCTCATACAAATTACAGTGGTTTGCAACAAAGGAAATATTAAATAAACCTCTCAAAACACCAAGACATCGTTTGCCTTCCTGGACTGTGCTGGGTTCCTAAATCCCATCCTAAACCATCAGGACACTTTCATTATGCCATGAATAATGGCATACAGTTCTTCCCTTTGCTTTTCAGGAACACTTCAACCACCTCCTTAGATTTACCAACTGTCTTTTAAACAGGTAATTACCTCCAAAAAAATCCATTTTCTGTACCTCCTTCACTACAGCCTTCTGTGCAAGAGGGATGTTTAAATCCCCCTTCAGCCATGACATGTTAGAGGGGCTCAAGCACAAGTTACTTGCAAGAAGCTTTCTTAAATAATATTTTTTTAATCCTCTTTCTGAGCCATAAATTGAACAGGCACCAGATCCCCAACTACATTGCAAGGGCCAGATAAAATATCCCAACAAACAAAAATCTGCATCCCACATGACAGGCATCCCTATCATAGGTATCCCTATTCCCACAGGAAGGTATCCCCTGCCTATGGCAGGAGGGTGCAACAGGATGAGCTTTAAGATCTCATCCGACCCAAATCATTCCATGTAAAACCCCAAACCAACCCAGCTGTGTTTCATCACTGATCAAAAAGCTTTACACCAGGCCACAAACCATAAAAACTCAGCTCATAAAGAACTTCCACTCATTCCCACCGTGCCAGAGCCACCAAGCACCACTCAGCCTGTTTTTGTGGTGCTGAGCAGAGCCCAGCGTGGCAGTGGCAGCAGCCCAGAGCTGTGCAGTGCCCCCGGGGTGTCTCACCTGCTGCAGCCCCTGCGTGCCGGACACGGGCACCTGCATGATGGTCTGGCCCTGGCCCCCGGGCACGGCCTGCACCATGATGGGCTGGCCCGTGGAGGTGATGAGCTGCCCCCCGCTCACCTGCACCATCAGCGGCTGCCCCTGCACCTGCAACAACAAAGCGACAATGAAAACTCCGCCAGAGCAGCCCCAGAGCTCCCCCGGGTCCCTGCGGGGCAGGGGAAGTGGGGAGCAGGCACTGAGCTGCTTCAAACCAGCTCTGCCTTCCAGCACGTGCTAAGGGTTTAGTGAGTTATCTGCTTCTCTTGCAGTCTAGTTGTTATAAAGTGTGAAAACCACATTTTCCAGCCACAAGAAGTACCTTCATGCACAGCCCAAGAGCAAAGTGGGATAAAAAACTTCATTATTCACCTCGGAATTACTGATTTTTAATTGAGGTTCCTATTGAGAGAACTCTGTTCTGACAGGGAGGTTCTGAGGTGGCTTCAGCTCTCTCCAATTTCATGGCTACAACATTCCCATTTCCAAACTGACATGGAGCATGGGATGTGCTGAGAGAAACTCTCAATGCTCATCGAGGGAAATTGTAACTGGAGCAACACAAAATGGAGTTCAGGGAGGAAAAGTTAAAGTGGATGAGCAGCAGCCACTTCTGGGCCCAAAAAGGTTTAGACTGGATATATAAATATAAATATAAATATAAATGTATGAGGGTGGGCAGGCCCTGGCTGCTCAGAGAAGCTGTGGCTGCCCCTGGATCCCTGGAAGTGTCCAAGGCCAGGCTGGACAGGGCTTGGAGCACACTGGGATAGGGGAAGGTGTTGGGGTGGGAACTGGGTGAGCTTTAAGGTCCCTTCCCACCCAAACCAGTCTGGGATTCTGAGGTAACTTTGGCCTGAGAATCTCTGGACTCTTGGACCTGGTATTTCTCTGCTCACTGGGAAAAAGGCCCACGAAAAGAAAAACAAGGGGAAAACCTCTCTGTTTGAACCCCCTCACCTGCCAAGTCCCCAAATTCCCCAAATGCATCTTGAAAAACACTCTACCTCCACAGCATGAATGCAAACTCAGTCTCATGAACTCGGGGACCACAAAATCTGATTTGTTTAGGAACAAGAACATCACAATGCAGTAAAGCCACCGAGTTCCTGGGTTTCACACTCCAGGGACTGAGGAGCCAAATCCTGCCCTGGGAATTGGAGTTTCCAGGTCCCCACTCTGTCCCTCAGCCTGTCCATGTCCCATCCAAAGCCCTCAGCCCCTGGGCTGGGTCACACAGGGAGGAGCATGCTCAGGTCAGCACAGAGAAGCACAGGCAGCAGCACAATATCCAAGAAGCAGAAAGGAAAACAAGACATTCCAGGATTTTTGTTAATGAATCACAGCAAGGCAAAATAGAAAAAAAAAAAATAAATGGTGGGGAGAACATAACAACAACCAGAAGTCCCAGTGAGCTCAGCAATCCAAGTGAGGCAGCATCTGAGATTTGAACTCTGAACATAAAAAATGCTGTGTTAATTCTGCAGCTGGCAGGGCCATCCCAGCCCCTTGGAACCTCCCTGCTCTGAAGAATTACAAACCAAACAAAACCAGAATCCTGAGTGCAAAACTGCCACGGCTGCCCAGGGTCTGTCAACTGCTCTAAAGGGCTCCTGGAAAGCCTGGGTGAGTTAAGGAAGTGGAGGCTGCACACAGGGAATACTTCACACTGAAACCAAGTTCTTTCCAAACTGGGATGTATTTGCTGTTTGGATCCACATGGCTCCTGGCTTTCCCTGTGCTGTTCACAGGTAAATAAGAAATTGGATCTCTCAGTGCCACAGAGGCCAGTGCTGTCCCCAGGTGCCCTTTCAGTCACAGCTGAGAAGGTTCCAATGTCCAAGGTCAGGCTCTGGCACCACCTCCCCTCAGGGAAGAGCTCAGAACCCATTTCCTTGGAATTACAGGAAATCTTTGGGGTTTATCCCGACTTCTCCTTCCTCATTTTGGTGTTTTTAACTTTAAAGTCTCCCTGAACCACAATTCCCTTCCAGAATTCCTGCCATGCACCTGGGAACAGCTCCAATGGCATGGCAAACCCTAGAGGCAGCACCCAGCAGAGATTCCTGCTCCACACCCCCCTGCTCCTCCTGGAAACCCTGGGAAAACACAGCATTAGATATGTGCTGCTGGGGAGGCTCATGCAGTGCTCAGAAAACACAATCAGAGAGGTCACCACTACCTGGAGGGTCTGGACTTGCTGGCCTGAGGCCGATGCCACCTGGGCCTCAGTCTGCAGCTGGACAGCTGTGACACCTCCCTGCTGCTGGGAACAGGAACAGGGAGAGCTTGAAACATGGAAATGCACAACACACTGCTGGGACAGGGGGTGGGGATCACACACACCGCTCCAGGAACACGAGGAATGGGAGTTTTAGCAAACCTAAGGATGGAGTTCCCTGGTACTGCACTGCCAGGCTTCAATATTTCAACTCACAGGGAACAGGATTTTGCAGGATTTCAAGCTCAGTTTCAGGGTTTTAGTCTGCTCACTGCCCAGGTTTGGCACGGTGAAGGGTTTCAGATTTTGGGCACACTGGTTTGTCCCAACACAAAGCTCTTCCTGCAGCACAGCCTGAGCTCATCTCTGCCACCCCTGTGTCGGTGTCTGCCCACCAGTGACCCTGAGGGACAGTCTGGAGAGGCTGCAGGAGCAGCCAGAGCTAAAAGCCTTTTCTATCTTTAGCTCTTTGCTAAGAGTCCCAAAATACTCCCAGGAACTGTGTTAGCATGGGGAGATGAAGGACAGCTCCTTCCCAAGTGCTGCAACAGCCTGGTAAAACAACTTATTTTAGCAAAATGTCTCGCATCAGACACAGGCTTTAAGAAGTTGTACTGAAAATGAAAGCCAAGAGTTGGTTTTATCTCCTTTTCACCTAGAAAACGTCAATAAACCAACCACATCTCTGGTTATATGCTGCAAGCAGGTATTTCAGATAATCCTTAATATACAATGTTTTCATCTCAAGTGCAATCTTGTTCTGGCTGAAAAAGTCAACTCCAGCTAAACCCAGTGGAAGGATTTGGTCCCTCCTGAGGCCAAAGCAAAGCAGATCCCCCTGAAAACATCATCCTGTGGCTCAGCCCTTTGCATGGCAAACCACCAAACCTCCTCCAACTAGAGCAGAAGATGCAACAAAAATCCAGCAGCAGCTGAAAACACACCCCAAAATCTGGATATGGAAAGCTGAACAGCCAAAATCAGTGAGCCCTCTAAACTCAGCCCTGGCATTTTGCAGACTGAAACATGAATTTTTTGGGATGGATGAGTTCATCCAAAGCTACATGGCTGGTTGAATTCCTGTTCTGTGTGTTTGTTTTGCTCTGCTGTTCTCAAACAAAGAATCTCTATAAATGTTCAATTGATAAAGCTGGAGGAAACCTCTGCGGGCTTGAACAAAATCTATTTCAACTTTGGGGGAAGTTTTCCTGTGGACAACTGATTGTTTCTATTAATTCTGTTTCCTCCATTTTCAGAGATGTGTTAATATATTTTTATATTTTACTTTCCCCACATCACTACCATTTTGCAAACTTCCTGCTACACTGAAATTTGGTAACATGTACACCTGCATTTTCATTTTAATTTTATATAAATTTTTGTATTTATATAAAATGTAATACATTTTATTTAACTTCAAAAATATACTAAGTGTATTCTAAAGACCACATTTACTCTGACTTCCAGGCAGGTGCTATCAATGCCCAGGTGACAGAAGTCAGGTGAACAGGATCAGGATTGTGCTGCTGAAACCAAGTTCTTTCCAAACTGGGATGTATTTGCTGTTTGGATCCACATGGCTCCAGGTAAATAAGAAATTGGATCTCTCAGTGCCACAGAGGCCAGTGCTGTCCCCAGGTGCCCTTTCAGTCACAGCTGAGAAGGTTCCACTCTCCAAGGTCAGGCTCTGGCACCACCTCCCCTCAGGGAAGAGCTCAGAACCCATTTCCTTGGAATTACAGGAAATCTTTGGGGTTTATCCCAACTGCTCCCTCCTCACACCGTGCCCCTCTGAGGGGTGCAAAGAGCTCCCCCATCCCCCCACTCCGTACCTGCTGCTGGATCTGCCCTGCCTGCACCACGATCTGCTCCGTGGAGCTGCTGCTGTTGGCAGTGTACTGCTCCATGGTGCCTCAGCCCCTGCAAGAAAAACAAAAATCAGGTGATCTGCTGTCCCCAATCCTGGCACTCCCCACTGTCCCCAATCCTGGCACTCCCCTCTCCATTGTCCCCAGGCCTGGCACTCCCCACTGCCCCAATCCTGGCACTCCCCACTGTCCCCAATCCTGGCACTCCCCTCCCCACTGTCCCCAGGCCTGGCACTCCCCACTGTCCCCAGGCCTGGCACTCCCCACTGTCCCCAGGCCTGGCACTCCCCACTGTCCCCAGGCCTGGCACTCCCCACTGTCCCCAGGCCTGGCACTGTCCCCACTGTCCCCAGGCCTGGCACTGTCCCCACTGTCCCCAGGCCTGGCACTCCCCACTGTCCCCAGGCCTGGCACTGTCCCCAGCAGCTGCCAAGCCAAGCAGAGCAGGAGCTGCCCCAGGGCAGGGCTCTCCCAGAGCTGCTCCATCTCAGTGCTAAACAGAGGAGGCACTTCAGGCACATCCAGCCTGAGCGAGCACCAAAACCACCTCAACTGCGGCCCGGATTTCACGGGCTCCAGCAGTTCTGAGTCTGCACATCCCGGGCTCCAGCCCACACAGGGGAGTGTCACTGCTGGGAAACCTCAGGAAATGCAGAACCTTCAGGAGGGAAACCTCAGGAAATGCAGAACCTTCAGGAGGGAAACCTCAGGAAATGCAGAACCTTCAGGAGGGAAACTGAACTGCGCTTCAAGAATTCAGCAGAGCTGTGTAGGTTTCTCTCCTCATTTTTCTTCTCTCTCCTACTCTCATGGAATGGTTTGGGTGGGAAGGGACATTAAGGACCACCCAGTGCCACCCCTGCTGTGGGCAGGGACGCCTTCCACCATCCCAGGTTGCTCCAACCTGCCCTTGGGACACTTCCAGGGATCCGGGGGCAGCCACAGCTCCTAACCCAGGGCTTCCCCACCCTCACAGGGAGGAATTTCTTCTCTAAAGAAATATTTCCATACTCAAATATACCCTTCCTATATTTTGGGAAGCAGATTTCCCAGCACCTCCATCCTCTCGCTACCCCTCACTCCTTGGCCCTTTTCCTGCACACCTCAACAGCACAGTGCTGAAATAAAAACATCTTTTCCCTGCCACTGCTTCTCTCCTCGCTGGCCCAACAAGAGCAGAATTCCTGCTTTAGTGAGGTGTTTGATTTATGCCACGACTGAACAAGTTCCTGCTACACTGCTGAACGAAAACACAGCCTGGAACTTTAATTTTCCAAGTCTAAAGCAACAAAACTTCTGGCTCCCTCACTTTTTCAAGGAATGCTGACAGGATTAAGTCACAGACTCTCTGTACCCGTTGCTGTGGTTACTGCTGCTGTTTGAGTTCCATCCTCTGCCCATTTCCTGAGACTTTTTCACAGCCAGAATAAAAGAAGATAAATATTCTTTCTGAAAATGCTGCTGTCAGGTTCTCATTTCAATTTCACACTGGATACCTCATTTCTGCCTTAAATTAAAATCCTTAATTAAAACATTAACAGCTCTGTAATGCCAACACTCTGCAGCAGCTGCCTGAAGTTCTGGACAAAATTCTACCAGTGCTGGATCCTCACTATCCAAGGGATTATCTCACCCCCTTCGTTAAACAGAGTAGCCAAGTTAAATATTAATGATCAGGGATCAATCAATGGCAGAGGATGGCATCTCCTCCCCCAGTGAGCTCACGGGCAGCTCCTCCTCAGCGGGAATGCTCTGGGAACCAGGGAGCGTTCCAGTCCCAGCAGCAGATATTTAGACACTATGTATATAAATAAAATAATATATAAATGTTTTATAAATATAATATTATTTATAATATTTTAATATTATAAATAATATGTAAGTATACTGTGTTGTATGGGACTCATTAGGACCATCAAACTCCCGGGCCTGCACAGGATAGCTCCAAAAATACTTACAAGTATTTATATATATAATACACATAATTTATATGTATACAAATCTAGCTACACCAGGAGCAGTTTCCTCACCAACCAACCCACACCGAGAGCAAACCAGCGCCACGAACAGCCCGAGAGCTCCCGAGCATCACCGGCACCGTGTCCCGGAGCTCCCGAGCACCGCTCCCGGGACACCGCGGAGCCGCACGCCCACCCCCGAGCGGGATTTAACACGGGGGCGGGCTGAGCACGACATGTGGAGCCCAGGCTCAGCTGCCGGCTCCCGGTGGGAGCCAGGGATGAGCCGGGGCTGTTGTGTCACTGCGGGAAGCGCCGGCCCGGGGGATCTCCCGGTGTGCTCGAACCCCTGGCCGCCCCAAAAACCACCCCAGCCGCCGGAGCACCGCGTGCCCGGCCACATCAGGGCAGCTACACCGCGCACACCGGCACCGGACGGGGCAGGCTGCCGGTGAGGGCGGGGCGCTGCGGCTCCGGGGGAAGAGGCCGGGCCCCGCCGCGGCGCTCGGCCCCGCGCCCCCCGCCCAGCCGGGGTGTACCCGACCCCGCTGCTCGCGGCCCCGCTCGCCCCGCGGGCCCGGCCTAGCCTAGCCCAGCGCGGCCCGGCCCGGCCCCGGTTCCCCCCTCAGCCCCTGAGTGGCCGCGGCCCCGCCAATCCCGGCGCGCGGGGGCTCCATATTGGCCGCTCGCGCTCACCGTGCCGCGCTGCCCGGTCCGCGCCCCGCGCTGATTGGCTCCGCCGCGGGGCCCCGAAGCCCAATCAGCGCCCGCACTCGCCCGCCGCGCAAAATGGCGCCCAACCGCGGACAAAGGGGGCGAGGGGCGGGGCCCCCGCCCGGCCGCGGCCGCCCAACCGCGAGACTCGCCCTGCCCGGCGCCGCTGCGCCTGCGCGGGGGCTGTGGCGCGCACGCGCGGGGCGGGCCACGCCCAGCCTCGGGCCCCGCCCCCTGTCCGGAATGTTCTGGGCCGGGACCATGGAGTGGGTCCGCCCGCGCGCGCGGAGCGGCGCGGCCGCCATGTTGTGTGGGGCTCGGCCGCCATGTTGTGTGGGGCCGTACCGCCGTGTTGTGTGGGGCGATACCGCCGTGTGGGCTGAGGACGATCGGCCAACTCCCCGCGAGGCGGATCCGCCATTTCGCCGCGAGGCGGAGCTGCTGAGGCTGAGGCGGTCTCGCCAATGTCCCCCTGAGGCGGAGCCGCTGTGGCCGTGAGGCGGGGCCGCCCTTGCGGCTCGGCCGGAGCGATGTGGGCGGCGCTGGGCAGGCTCGGCGTGGCGCAGGCCGTGGGCCCGGCCCGGTTGATCGCTGTGCGCCCCGCGGGTGCGGCGGCCGAGCGGCCCTGAGGGGTGGGAGGGGAAGGAGGAGGAGGGTGATAATGGTGATGAGGAGGAGGGCGGCAGCCTGGGGGTGCTCATTGTGCGGTGACCCAGGGCTGGGGCCTCCTCCCGGGCGCAGCGGGACCGGGTCAGGGGCACCGGCATCTTCAGGGGTGTCGTGGTTGTCACAGATACAATTAGGCTCAGCCTCGCCCCCGCTAGCACGCTCTTACTGCCTAGCTTGAGGTTCCTAATAATTGTTTTTCTCTCATCTTTCCAGCCGCAGGAGCCTTCTCCATACCCCACGTTACCATGGCCACCCACTTCTCCAAGGATCAGGAGGAGAGAGTGCGTAGGAAACGGGTTACATGGGATATTATTGTCTGTGCAAAGAGGCTTTCCCCTCATTACAGCCCTGACAGCACGGCACTGGCTGCTTCCTGCAGCTTTTGAGAGCAGAGTGGCTGCCCGTGCTGAATTTTGTGTGCTTTTTGTGTATAAGAGTGAGGCAGATGCTGTGCAGCAGCACAGAGCTCACCTGCCTGCCTGAGCACCTCGAGCCTGGTGCTGCTGCAGGGGTTTCACTAATCCAGCTGTGCTCCCTGTCACATAATTACCCTTTTAAGCTTTGATTTTGTAAGATTACCTGCTGAGCTGGCACATGATGCTCATAAATCATCTTGTTGAGAAAGTGTAGTGGGTTTGTAATTCTGTGTGCGGGGTGTGTAATTCTTTGTAGTGGGTTTGCAAATCTCTGTAGTGGGTCTGTAATTCTCTATATTGGGTTTGTTATTCTCTGAGTTGGGCTTGTAATGCTGTGAATTTGGTTTGCAGTTCTGTCTGTGGGGTTTGTAATTCCACACGTGGGGTTTGTAATTCCCTCCCTTGGGTTTGTAGCTCATGCCAGCTCAAACACTTACACCCTACACATCAAACTCAAACCCTGCCCCTCTTGCTGCCCAGTCCCTGGCCACGTGTGTGCCCAGGTGTGCTCTCTGAGAGGTGCTGTTGCCCTGCCCTGCAGATCAGGTGTGTGAAGGGGGATCTGTTCTCGTGCCCGGGCACGGACGCCCTGGCTCACTGCATCAGCGAGGATTGCCGCATGGGCGCCGGCATCGCCGTGCTCTTCAAGAAGAAGTTTGGAGGCGTCCAGGAGCTCCTGGATCAGAGTGAGTGGTGCCTGAAGGAGCTCCTGATTTCCAGCAGGGAGGGAGTTGGAGCTGCTTGGGGTTACGGAGTGTGGTTGTTGTAAAAACACCTTGGTTTTTGTGCTGTAGAGAAGAAGACGGGGGAGGTGGCGGTTCTGCAGAGAGATGACCGCTACATTTACTACCTGGTAAGGGCTGGGGTGGTGCTGGGACACCTCCCTGGAGCTAAACTCTGTCACAAATCAGGCATTAATAGCTGTGGGTGTTTTGGTTGTGTTCGTGGTATCAGGGAATCACAGAGTGGTTGGGGTGGGAAAGGACCTTAAAGCTCATCCTGAGCAGGGACACCTTCCCCTATCCCAGGGTGCTCCAAGCCCTGTCCAGCCTGGCCTTGGACACCTCCAGGGATGAGACAGCCACAACTGCTGTGGACAGCCTGTGCCAGGGCCTCCCCACCCTCACAGGGAACAATTCCTTCCCAATATCCCATAAAACCCAGCCCTTTGGGTTCCCCATTCCTCTTGTCCTGTCGCTCCAGGCCCTTGTAAATAAATAGTCTCTGTCTTGTTGGCCCCCTTCGGGCACTGGAATGGAGTTTCTAGAATGTTCCTCTCAATAAGAGATGTGTCCTTAACTATTGCCTGTGAGGAGCAGCCAAGCTGTTGTGTGCATCTGCATTTCCACTTTACCTGGGCAAAGCTGGCTGCTAAATTAGAGTGTTTAAGCTGGGAAATGTTCTTTGCTCAGGTCTTTCCGCAGAGGCAAGTCTGAGTGTGGAGTTTTGGGATATCAGGGAATGTGTGTTTTGTACCAGTGTTTATAACAGACAGAAGCTTGCAGGGGTCATGCCCAAGGCACAGCTGAGCTTTTCTATTTTTCTGTAGATTACAAAGCAGAAGGTTTCTCACAAGCCCACCTATGAGAGCATGCAGAAGAGTTTGGAAGCCATGAAAGCTCACTGCCTGAACAACGGAGTCACCGACATCTCCATGCCCAGGTGAGGGGCTCAGCAGCTGGATGCCAATGCTTGGGTGTTTAATTTCTAAAATTATGTCTGAGGGATGATCCCCTGCTGTGAAATGAGAATTCAAGCATCCACCTCTAGCCACCTCCTCTGTTTAATTGGGCAAATCTAATTTGCATTTCCCTGTGCATTTGTTTCCTTGTTCTCCCCATGTTCTGTGGGTTCATGGGGAGCTGTGGCAGGGCCACCTCAGACTGCAACTGCTCCAGGGCTGATTGGGCACAGCACAAGGCCCAACAAGGCTCTTTTGGTGCTTCATCTTCCAGGATCGGATGTGGACTCGATGGCCTGCAGTGGGAAAAGGTGTCAGCCATCCTTGAGGAAGTGTTTGAGAACACTGACATCAAGATCACAGTGTACAGCCTGTGAGCAGAACAAAGATCCCCATTTCCCCCAAATTTGGGAGCAGAACCTATGAACTGACAAGGGGGGACCTGTGTGTGGAGCACGTTCTGCATTCGGGTGTCACTCACTCGTGTGACAGTGACAGCATCAAGCCCCAGAGAAGTTCATTTGGGCTGTTAATTAGGAGGCAGCGGCGCCGTGAAAAGCCTGGGGGAGCTCCCAGTGTGTCCCTGCAGCCACCAGGTGTCACTGGGGCTCCACGCAGTGGAACGGAGCCGCTGCCTCGTGGGGGCTCGGGGTTTCTCTTCGGGTTGGTGCTGCCCGGGGCAGCGCTGGCACCTCTGCTTTGTTCTTTTTGCGATGCCCTTCCTGGCTCTGGGGTCACTCAGCTCTTCTCACACGTGGAACGGTTTCATTTCTCCCTTCCGGCCACAAATTGGGTTTGCTGGGATTGTGCTCACTCAGGATCATGGTGTGATGTGAAATAAACAGTGCCCTGCTGTTGGATTGGTACCTGTGGCTGTTCTGGGGACAGGCTGCGATTGCAGGGAATGCTGGAGGGGAGTCAATCCACCTGGTGGGTGTGTTTTGTTCAGCAGCTCTGTAATTTATAGTCTGCAGAGCTCTGTTTGGTGAGGATCCAAACAGGCTGATGTGCTCTAGAAACGCACAGGATGGGGTTTAAGGTGGGATTTTCACATTTCTTTGTTTGTTGCATTTATAGTCCAGGTGTTACACAAAGGTTGGTGTTTGTCACCCAAAACAAAAGCAAATCAGTACCACCCCTGGTTCCTGGGATCCATGGGAAACTCCTGATTTGGAAGAGTTTGTTCCAGAACTGAGGAAGTGCCACAGACTTTTCCTTCCTATTTGGTTTTTAAACCCTCCCACAATAACAAATCTTTTGGACTTCTGTCATTCTGAATGCCCAGAAAAGTGCCAGGTGTGTTGAAATATAAAAATGGGACATAAGAGTTGGGAATTTTGTAGCATGACAGGGTTCTTGATTGGATTCCTTGGGAAGGGACTGGATTACTCAGTTCTGTGGGGCTTTTTGCTGCTGCAAATCTTGTTTTTTATCCTTACCCTCCTTGTTCCCTGCCCATGTTTTGTAAACTGTTTGGTGGGGAAAAACAACAAAGAGGAATTTGGAGCAATGAGCTGATCCAGAACAGGCACTGAGGCTGCTCCTGGATTCAGTCTTTCCCCTTGTTTGTGTCTGGGTTTTTGTTCTGGTTCCTTACTCATGGTGTCCCCGTGAGCTTTGTTTTACATGGAAAATGATCCTGCTCTCCAACAGTTGTGTGTACTCTGGAAATTTTTTTGGCATTTAGTTCTCCCTTCCCAGCTACAAAATATTCCCTGTGTGGCTGTCCTGGGATGTCCTTGAACTCAGACTTGTCAGGTTCAATTTAGGACTTCTTGCAAGTAGAGAAGAAGGAATAAACAATGTTTTAGCTTTTGCAGTGGCTTCCCATTTTATTTCACTCTGCTTTTCCCAGGTTTGTATCCCAAACAATGTTGTTTGATATCAAGTTCTTGGGCTCCATCATGATTTGGAAGAGAGCTGTTGGCTCTGAATTAAATCACAGCTCTGACTATTGAGGAGAACAGAGGGAGAAAACTTCTTTTTCACCTTAAATCCCTTTTCCCCTTTCTAATGCATTTATCTAACCAGCAGCTTTGCTCTAAGGTCTCTTCCAATGAAATATTCCCAGAATGTGATCCCACAGCCTGCCTGTGGATCACTGCCATCCCTTTCACCACAGCATGGGTTTGGTTGGGGCAGGAAGGGGGAGGAACAAAAAACGGCCAAAAAATCCCAAACACCAGAGGTCTGTGTTGTGTGTGTATGTGTTTGGAGTCCCACAGGGCCTTGTCTCCCAGAGGCTGGTTCTCCATCCTGCTGGAATCAAAGCTTTGGGAAGCAGGACTGTCCCAGGTGTCCAGGTCTGTCACATCTCTTCATGGATCCTTTCTGATCCTGGGGAGGGAAAAAGCAACATCCTAGAGACTCAGAGGTGACTCTTCAGTACCCCATAGAAAAGGGAATTCTGCAACCACTGGGATTTCCTTTATTGGTGTTTTTTAGACTTTGGGGTATGAGTAAAATCCCCTTCAATCTGCATTCCTCTATGGAATGTCCTGAACATCATCCCTGTGGGGAACAGGGAGGTGTTCTGGTGGCCCTGGAACCTTTTTATTTATTCCTGGAGGAGAAGACAGGAAAGCACCAAATCCCTTGGGAATGTGCTGTGGGGGAGCCCCTGGAAGGGGAAAGCCACTGCCTGGGATTTTTAGCAATATTCAGCTAACAGTAAGAGAAATTGGAACCCAAATTAAAGAGAGGAGAGTTAATGAGTGACCCCCTCACTCACCTGAGCCTCAGTGCAAGATCTCCGCCAGCTTCTCCTCGTAGTACTGGAAATTCTCCTGAATATCCTCCCAGGGCACAAAGGACTTGGCCTCCTCCCCTTCCTCCTGCTCCACAAAGTTCTTCCAGACATACTCAAAGTCTTGAGGCTTCATAATCCTCAGCTTGCAGCCTGCCTCCTTCATGCTCCTGAGGGCCGCCTGCATCTCGGGCTCCTCCCACATGAAGAGCCTGCCCACCATGATGGTGAGGCGCAGCCCCTTGTTCTTGCGCAGGGCCTCGCAGATCCTCTGGGCGCAGGTGACGCAGGGGCTGGAGGACACGTACCAGGTGACATCGTGGCGGGCACCCGCCTGGCACGTGGGCAGGATGGTGTTGAAGAAAGCCATCTCGGCGTGGGCGGCCGCGTGCTCGTCCTCCAGGTACCCCCGGCTGGTCACCGGCTCCTTGCCCTGCGTCTCCACCACGTAGCACAGGAAGGTTTTGTTCCTGCCCGAGCTGTACTCCACGTTCCTGAACTGGAATTTGAAGAAGATGGCTGGGAGGCGTTCCCTAGGAGAGGAGAGCAGAGAGGAGGCTCAGAGGCAGGTTTAGGTAAGGGTCACACTTTTGGGTCGCCTCTACCCATGACCCAAATCCCGTGGGCAAATCACTGCATTGCTCCTGATTTCTGTGTTGCAAGGTATAGGTTGTAAAATATCCAGGATCAAATCCAACTTTGCTGTTAAAATGTGGATTTCCTGCTGGAATCCCTACTGATAAACTTCACCTACTCTTTTAATTTATTGGCCACATCTTCCCTTCTGTGACTCGTGGTGGAATGTCTCATGGGATGGCTCTGGAGATGGGAAGGGAAAGGGATGGAAAAGAGTGGGAAAAAATGCACGTGCTTCCAAGAATAGCACATTTCCTGCTTGGGATCCTGGATAATGAGTGCTTCTTTGGCTAAGGGTTCTTTAATTAATGATTTTTTGAAGGACAGACAGACATGAGACACCCATTCCAGAGCAATGTCTGCAATGAATGGTTTCACAATAACATCAGGTTTTTAAATACATCAGAGGCACAGGGAATTTCATCCCTGATTTAACTCTCTGACAGCAAAGGGGTCACAGCAGTGACGAGGTTGGCTCTGGGTTTTCATGGAACAGCTGAAGCAGCAGCAACCTGCTCCAGGATGGATTGACTCAGGCTGGATTGACTGGGAGCTGCATTTAGCCAGCCCTCCCTGATGGATTTTCCTGCTTATCTCGGCGTGTGCCTGGGCTTAGCTGGGATGTTCACCTCGATTCTGCTCCCAGCAGTTTGGAATCTGCGTTAGTTCAATTAATAACGTTCCAAGAAGGAACAGAAACAGCACTCAGAGCCCATTCCAATGCCTGGCAACCCTTGCTGTGAAGAAATTCCCCCGATGTCATCCCCTGGCACAATTTGAGGCCATTTCCCCTCATCCTGTTGTGTGGGAGAAGAGGCTGATCCCCACCTGGCTCCAGCCTCCTGTCAGGGGGTTGTGGAGAGTGAAAATGTTTATGGAAATAATTTAAAAACTGTTCACAGGCACTGAATTCCCCAATATTCTCAATATAAACCCCTACTCTGACACTAGGCTGGAGTGGCACAGCTCACCTGAGGATAGGGAAGATCAAAATTGAAACCTTCCCTGAAAAGCATCATTAAATTACATTTTTTTAGGGATTTCTAAATGCTCCAACCTAATTTATCAGTTTTCCCTGGGTAGGAAAGTGATAGATCATATTGAGATGTGATCCTGGCACTGTCACACAGGAGAGAAGGAAAACATCTAATGAGGAAATGTGGATAATCTAAAAGAGTAACAAGGAATTATTCCTACAAGAAGCCTCATTTACACCTGGGGAAAGTGGAAAGAAATGTGGCAGGAAATGCTCCCAGGTTGGGATTACAGGCTGTGTTCAGCCAAAAAAAAAAAAAAAAAAGGATAATATTCTTAAAGAGAGTAATTGGCTTCCCAGGGATTCCTGGAAGCCAGGCTCCTCCTGGAGCTGTAAGCAGCAGAGTGAGAACTTGGCTGGGAGTCCTGAGATGCCCCTAATCCAAGGGCTAAAGCTGAAATGCAACATAATTGGGTTTAAGTGCTTCTTCCCTGGCTGCACTTGTGTTTCCTCATCACTCCCATAACTGCCTTGATTGCCTGGGAATTTGTAAATCACTGGAAAAATCCACGTGGTGATCTCAGGTCAAGGCCTGGCCTGATCTCCTGGTGTCCTCCTTAAAATGAAACTAAAAAAACCCCCTGAGGTTTCTCTACCTTTTTGAGGCTCCTTTAGGATTTCTGCTTCACTTCCTCACTCTCCCCTTTGCAGGGTGGAAAATCCTGTCAAATCCTGGAACACCCGTGGCATTCCAAGAAAGGATTTAACTGCAGGGTGGTGCTAAGGGAGTTTTCCAGCCATGATTTCCCAGGGCCTTGGGCTTAGCAGGGAAGTTTGGACATCCTGCTCAGTCCCTCAGCATTTCTAACTGCAGGCTGAGTGCTCCAAGGCTAGAAAACCCAATTTCCTCATTAAAATTCATATTAGGACATGTCTTAAGTGTTCAGAACTTGGCCCAGTGGTTTATATCCACAATTTTTGGTGCCTTAGCTCCATTCCTAGCAGAGGGGTATTCTTTCATTAAAAGCCACTGCTAATCATTTATTTCTATGATTATGTGTGACAGAGATTGCCCCAGGAAGGGATTTTTTTCACATCTTGAGAAGAGAATGGAGATTTTTCCTCCCCTGAGCAGGAATGGAACCCAATTTTGTGGTAGGGGTGCTGTCCTGCCTCACTCATCCTGGTTGGAACGAGCAGCCAAATTTCACCTGCAGGGCCCATGGCACAGCCAGAAGGATTCCAGGGGATATTTTGGAGGCCTGAGCTCTAGTTTTAAGTAGCTGGATGAAATCCTGGGTTGGTTTATTTGCTGGGACACTCCTTTGGTGACTGATAAGAGAAATATGAGGGGAGAAGGACTCATCCTGCTGCTCCTCCAGGGAGCTTTTGGAGGGAGCAGACACCCAGGGCTTTTCCTTCTTGCAGCTGTCAATTATGGCTGAGAGTTCAGCTTCCACCAGAGCCTGTGATATCCTGCTTTTCCAAAGTCCAGGCTCCCT